TTCGCCGCCGGGTCGGATTGGTTGACCCGGACGGCGACCGGGTCCGGGGATGACCGAGTCAACCAGGAGAGAAACTCGGGCGAGTCGATTAGGACGATTCCGAGGGGGAAAGAAGAGGATCGAAGCTTCTGGACCGTCTGCGATGTCGCGAAGGCGATTGCCGGCTTGCTGATTCGGACCTGGTGACTCACCTCCGAGTTGGATCCGACGGGATTAGCAGGCGAAATCACGATGCCAATGGACATCAAAGCAAAGTAGAGCACAGGAACGCGAGTGGAGGCCGGGGAGAGGATGAAGGCGACGTCGTTCTGGGAGAGAGAAGGGAAGCGTTCCCGGAGACAGACGGCGAGGGAGCGAGCTCCATGGAGAAGCTCGGCGTAGGTGATGCTCTCTCCGGTGGTGGCGTTGACGATAAAGGTGATGGATCCGATGTCTTTTCCGGCGGTGGAGACAGGAGAGGAGCGGCGGAGTAGGGAGAGGGCGTGCTCGGCGGCGGAGAGAGGTTGGTCGAGAGGATGGAGAGGCAAAGGGCCACGGAGGCTGTGGTAGATTCCCGTCCGTCGATCGAAGCCGGAGCTCCGGTCGATCAAGTGGCTGTCGTCATCTTCCGGCGGCGCCATTCTCGGAGTTCTACCTGAAATCATCAACCAGACAGAGGTAAGTGTCTTGAACACGTGTTCTTTTCTCCTTCTTTAATTGTTTTTTTTTATGATAGAGGAGCCCCTACAAACAAATAACAGATAAATATTTTCTCATAACAATATATATATATATTCCTAAAAACACCAAAATTAGTTTTGGTAACTGACATTAATTTCCGCACTCCACAAAAAGTTCGCCCGAAAAAGGTCAAGAGTTTATCGAAGGGAAGAACGAATCAGAATTTGCATAGATTTCATAAATAGAAATTCATGAGTGACAGTTATCTGTACACGTGGCGCAATACAAGTGGACAGGGATGGATCTATTACACGAAACCCTAACCTAACTTGTGTAAGGTGTTTACTTGAGCAGCAAGGAACCTGGATCAGAAGAAATTTACCACCTGAATCAATGAAGCTTTTCAGACATTTAGCGCCCCTCTACAGAACCTACGACATAGTTCGTCCCAGACAAAACATCAAAACCTTATTTTCCACGTTCACGAAAGGCAACAAACAAAAACAGAGAACGTTCTGGTCCTTTCAACCGATGGTAAAAGATTTATTCTCGACTGCGAAATTAGCCGAAAAGTTTAACGCAGGAGCTGAGCAAAGAAAAAACCCATCCTTCTGCAGGTCCAGGATATATAAAAAGCATCCCTTATGGGCTGGGAAATGAGGATCATTTTTCACACCGAGGGGGCTAAAGATCGAGATTTTCTTTGATCATATTCATCAGGAGACTGCCTTTTGGACCTCGGATGTAACTTCTTGGCGAGGTTTCTCCGCATGGATGTTTGCAAGAATTCCCTTGTTAGCATAGTAGTCAATCACCTGCCGAAAAGAGAAGAACACACAGATCAATTTGATTCATTTTCGTGGAGGAGGAGCAACCTGACATATTTCTATTTGGTTATTCCCCCACAAGATACAAAAAAAGAAGGGTAATTTTACCGGTTTGGTTTGCCGGTGAAAAGCTTCCAGCCTTGACATCAGAACCTCAGCATTATCATCTTTCCGCTGAATCAAAGGCTCCCCAGTAACCTTCAATGGGAAAAAAACAGAGAGACGGAATTGGTTATCGGTAGATTCAGAGAGAAATTTTCACCGACAAGGCTGAAACTGAAATTTAGAGAGGACAAGAAGGGGAATAAATCTAGTTATGATGAGTCTGTACAATGCAGGTAGGCTACCCCCTCCAAGTTTTCTATATGGTTAAGATGGATGCAAGAACTATACTAATACTTAGCTCATCATGTGCACCGTTACCTACATTGGATAACAGACTATTTATTTCCGTGGTGCCGTTTCCTAATTCAATCGATACTTACTAACAAAAAAGGTTTAAACTTTTAACCTAGAAGGAGGACCGAAGAAGCTAATAGGACTTACTTCAACCAGATTGCTGAAGCTATGTAGCCTAGATGCTTAAAAGAAATTATCTATGGAAACACAGTAAACCTAAGACAATTGGGTTTTAGGTTTTGGCCTCACATCATCAAATCCAGGGACTTTGGGAGGTGCGAATTTTGTGTGATAACTCCTGCCGCTCGATGGGTGGATCCATCTCCCAGTAATTCTTTCCTCTAAGATTGAGTCATCGATGGCAAAGTTCAGAACTTTATCAATTTGAACCCCCTGTTTGTTAAGCATTTCATCTAGCTGCAGATAACAGATGAAATATCATGGTTGGTTAGAAGTGTACATATTCGATAAAATTTAGAAGCCATGAAAATCCCGATTTTTTTTTTTAAATTAGCAGCACCTTCTCTGCCTGAGTCACAGTCCTGGGAAACCCATCAAGGATAAATCCTTTTTGGCATCTAGGCTTGCTCATGGCTTCATTGATTATACCAACAACCAAGTCATCAGAAACAAGCTTTCCCTGAAAAAAAAACGGCAAAGAATAAGCAACCAGACCAAAAAGTAAGGGAAATAGCAATCAGGAACTCTTACAGAAGGGGAAAACGATCAAAGGGACTGACCTTGTCCATAGATTCTTTTGCCTTCACGCCAAGAGGGGTCTTAGCAGCAACAGCGGCTCTTAACATGTCACCGGTGGCCAAATGACATAAACAAAATTCATCCTTGATTACTGGAGATTGGGTACCTTTCCCTGACCCAGGGGGACCTGCAAATCACACAATAGCACTCCCATGATCTCGCGAGCCAAAACACTACGAAAAGAAAACTTGCCTGAGATATAACACACTGACCAACCAAGCATTCTACATGACATTAAGAAATTGAAACAATCCATAAGAGCTTCACAGTCAATAAATAACCCGACATCCCTAGGGAAAGGAGCAATCTTTTGAATCCCCAGAAGAAACAAAAAACCCCAATCCAATGACCTTTGCCACTAAAGTTACAACCAGACCTACTAACTAAGCCTCATTCCAAACACCAAAACAAACCAAATGGTAAGAAATTCATATATAAAGAATAGAACTTTTACTTCAACATTCCGACAGCAGGAAGCAAACACGAATGGAGTTCATTCTCTTCAGTGACACTGGCTGAACTCTCTTCTAGGACATATAAGTCCGAATCTTGAGTCGAACATAAAACCAAAAAAATGAGGAAAAGGGACAAAAACCGGTGTCCAACATCAACACAAAACAACAAAATCTAAGTCGTTTTCTCGGCAAACATCAAACAAACACCAGGGAATCCTCAGATCTGAAATACCCATAAACCAAATCCGAAATTTCTCCATAGAAGGCAACACGGCCCCACATAAAAGCAACGTCTCGAATCGCATGTAGATTACGGAAACTAAGTGAGCAAATACGAGATACCGATGAAGACGAGGCGTTTGTCGGGCTTGGACGCGCATTTGAGACGGCGGAGGAGCTCCGACGTGAGATCCACTGTCTGAACATCTTCCAAGTCCACCGCAGCTCCGCCGCTCGCCATCGCTGTCTGATCTTCAACTTCGCCGCTCTGATTTCCTTTACGTTAAAGAGGGGGGTTCCCAATTGACGATTCTACTCCTTAGAAATAACTCAATTTACGTGTTTTTGCCACTGGATGAAGCGGAACTGAATAAATATTTAATCATTGAAAGGTTCGAACTTTATTATTGACTTGTAGAAAGAAACATTTTATACAATACAGTGAATACACGCACAGGAATCTTTTAAAAAAATGGGATTAAAAGGCATTTGAACTCAATCCTTCTGAAGACTGCAACTGAGAAGCGTACTGTAGGTTCCATAAGATATCCTCAAAGGAAGGTCGGCTCAAAGACTCGGGAGAAACGCATTTGGTCATAATGGAGATGACCCTTTTCAGTGATTCCTGCGAACATGTTGCCTGTACTGTCTGATTCACCATTTTCCTCCTGCCCTCCTCGCTCTCCAGCCACGCCTGCATTTGTATGATCCAAAACCGTTTGTATGTCGAGGAAATGGAAAAGGGTTCATCGAAAAAACCCCGAGAAAGAGCAGAGGTGAACGTTACCAGTTCGTCCCGGAGAAATGCTTCTTCTCTTGCAGAGACAGAGGGTCCAACGATTGATTCAAGAAGAATCAAACCGAAGCTATAAACATCGTCTTCTAACCTCGACATTTGCCTTCAAGAACAAAAACAAAAAGAGATTAAAGCCTCTGGAGATCGAGACAATAAAATATCCAACAAGCATCAGAAACACTTACCAGGAACTTTGCTTGACAGTAGTGTTATGTCTGGTTGCTTCAGAGACAATGGACAAACCATAATCACTAAGCTTTGCAAAACGGTGTTGGTTAAGCAAAACATTGTTGGCCTTGAGCCTGTTGCTGAAGAATCCAGGGATGACCCCAGTGTGAAGGAAGTGAACCGCCTTTGCAACACCCGTTAGAACGTTCAGCCTCTCCGACCAACTCATCGCCTTTCCCGAGCTGTTTTCTGCATCCAACCCGTGAAAAGTTTCAATCTTTTGTGTCAGAAGCTGTGGATTCTGTTGTAATCTCCCATCTTTTGCAGTTCTTATCTGTTACTGTTAGTGCAGAACAAGAGAGATTACCTGAAAGACAAGACCGGAAGTTTCCATTTGGAACATACTCGTAAATCATAAAGACTTTCTCGACGCTGTAATCATCTCTCCCTCCGGAATCTATGCAATGACCCAACAGGCAGACCAAATTCGGGTGCCTAAGTTTCGCCAGCAAATCTAGCCTTAGCTTTAGATTCCTGATCGAGTATTTCTTCGATGAAGGCAAGCACCTTATAGCCACCTTCATTCCATTCTCCAAGTGCCCTTTATAAAGCTGAAAACACAACAGAAAATCGGTAAGAACAATCGCTTTTTCCTCGGAATTTCCTGAAACATGATATGTAAAGAACTGATTAGAAACATTACCGTCCCATACGAGCCTTCGCCCATAATCGCTGCCTTGTCAAAGTCATTCGTAGCTATTCTAATTTCTTCTAAGCTAAACTGTCTACATGCTGGTAAATCATGTGAGCCAAACTTGGATGCTTCTGAAATATACCCTAATTCAAACCAAAATTGTCAATCAAAAAACGTATAATGAAGTGTTTTAACACGGTTAAGAAATAGGGTTTCTGAGATCAAAAGATAACGTACTTGCATTAGCGAGTATTTCAGATGAAAACCCAGTGGCTGGATTATCTTGAATGGTCTTGTGGAGAAGGTGCTTCTCCGTTATGCCGCTTCTGCAATACCTTCTGACCAAAACGAGTAAGCCAAAGACAAGAACCAGGACCGCCATGGATATTCCCACGAGCAGACCTACTAAAGCTCCTTTGCCTTTTCCTCCCGAACGTTCTGTAACAGCTGCTCGAGGCTCCTTCACTTGAACTTCTTCGATGCAATATGATGATGGGTGCTGCTGTCTTTTGTCCACAGACAAGCAGTTTCCTCCAAACTTCAAAACCAGAGTTTCTGACGGCTTTTTGCTCAAGCAAGGAGGTAGTTCCCCGGTTAACTTGTTGTCTGATATATCAACAAACCCTAGTTTGCTTCCACAGGACAGATTACCTGGAAGTGAGCCACTCAGTAAATTTGATGCCAGATTGAGATACTCCATGCTTGGAGATGAGAGCAGTGAAGAAGGTATTTGACCCACTAGCCCGTTATTCTTCAAACCGAGAGCTCTAAGATCCGGTAAGGATGGGAACCAGGTAGGAAATGTGCCATTGAAGAAATTATTGTCCAGTATGAAAGCTTCAAGTTTTACCATTGTAGATAACTTTGGTGGGACTGAGCCAAACAAGAAGTTGTCACTCAAGTCCAAGTGTTCAAGTGAAGATAACCTATGAAGCTTCTCTGGTAGAGGACCCCAAATTCCCAGAGATGACAAAGTAAGAACCCTAAGGTCTTTCAGCCTCGATAGAGTGGTGAAAAAGGAATCAATGGAGAATCCATCTGACAAAGTAACGTCAGGAATGGCGGAACCCTCGAAACTATCCGCCTTATCGGATGATTTGTCGCCGATGATGTTCAACTCTGAGACAGTATTGGATAAGCAAGTGATGTTCATCTGTGGAGTTGATGGTAAATAGCAGAAATTTGTCTTGCGGTCATACCAAGATTCTAGCTGCTTTGGGTACTCCAAGTGTTTCTTCAGTTGAAGAAGCACTTGTACATGAGAAGCTTGAAGCTGAGACGAAACCGAGCTGCAGAAACTCCACAAAGAACTCAACAAAAAGAGAAATTTACAGAAACCCATCGTCAGATTCTAAGCTCTCTTCAATGGGTCTCCTCTGTTTTCTTTTCCCCTCGGACAAGGAAGAATCGGTCGCGGATTTCAGACTAGATCTAGTTACGAGTAAACCTGCAAGAACAAGAAGCGGATCATGTTCCGAGATCAGAACTTGTGTTCTTTGGATAACAAAGAGTTTCAGAACTAGCTGTCACGTTTTCAGTATTCAGAACAAGAAACAGCTTGATCAAATATTTAACCAAAAATAATATTACCTTTGAATTTCAAGAACTCTGAGCTGGAAAATTCTTGATGTCACTGACTTTTCCAGAAAGACGAACATTTTGCGGAATCATAGAATTTACAGATTCCTCCGGTCACCGACACATTGGCTCTGTAGTGTGAAAGTGAAATAGCTTGCAAAGAAGAAAAAAAAAGCTTTTTTTAATGGAACGATTTGTAACTGAAGCGCTCTGCTCACTGAAAGCAGTCAGTGGTGGTGGTGGTGAATGTGTATTATGTGTGTACAGGAATCTTTGCTTGGATTATATGGAAAGTTGGTGGGTCCATGAGATAGTGGTTTAATTTAATTTAATTTATTCATTCACTTGGAAGACAAATGCTTGGATTTATATTTAAAAATAAAGTAATAATGGATTTCAGACATATATATATATATATATATATATATATATATCCATGTCTTGTCGCTTAAATTTATATAAACATATTCATACGTATTACCTTTATTGATTGAGATATTTTTTTCACCCGAAATTTTTATGAATTAAAATATTGATTTAGTTTTCAAGTTTTGATCCATCCAAGAAGTAATATATCTTAAACACGCATGTTTTTGTTTTAAAATGAAATAAAAATCACTCTGAAAGTAGGAGGACTAGTCCATGCGTAATAAATGATATATTTATTGGGTGGGTGTACAATTATCTGTGGATATTTTCGGCAACAATCAGGCACACAACCACAAACAACGAGGAAAATTATATAGGGGTAAAAGGGTATCATAGTCAAATGCTAATAATAAATTTGATGTACCTATCTTTGTAGTGATGCAAATAATTATTAATAATAATAATAATAATAATAATAATAATAATAATAATAATAATAATAATAAAAGTGGTGGGTGGGAATTATGAACGCATTCATTTGGTTGGTTATTGGGAATTGAGATCACTTTTAACCAGGCTGTCCCTTTACGCGGTTTGTAGAATAATGTAATGCCCCCATTCCCCCGTTCCATTGCATAATTAAATACATATACGTATATTATAATATTATGTCTCGAACCGGGTTTGGTTACGGCTTTTTTTTAGCAAACCAAACAAAAACAATTCAGTATTAAATATCACCAATCATCGTGTAAAGTAAAAATTATAATCATTTAATAATTAAAAAATTAACGTTTTGAGTTATTTTATGGCGGAATTATTGATGATAAAAAAAAATATACATTTGAATTCTGGAACAGGCTGAAGTGAGATGGGCAAAATCGTGTCGTAATAGCAAATCTTTAACTAGTTGTTGATCCTCCCGAACAATCTGTGGGATATTTGGTTAATAGTTGATCAAATCCAATTTCAATAAAAATCGAATAGTTATAATTATTTTTAAATTAAAAAAAAACTGAATCAATTTAAATTAAAAAAGTTAATCTCACAAAAAACTTTTCTTTTTAAATATTTTATATGAAACCATCAACTTGTATGTATTCTTAAAAATTCTACATTTATAACAAAAATACAAAAATTAGAAATTTATCATTTTATTTCATATAAAATATTTGATAAAAATATCATTGACAAAAAAATCGTTAAAATTTAAACCATATACTTTTTATCATAATAAATATTGTATGTATCAATTATAACAACAAAATAATACATATATTTTTTAAAAATTGATAAATAAATCTTTTTATACGTAAAATTATCAAGGAAAAGTTGATGTAGTAACAAATTCGTCCTAGTCATATTCAACATCATCCTAGTCTTGCTCCGCGTCAAATGAATAAGGGATAATCACATAAAAATACTCGAACTTTTACAAAAATCCCAAATAAATACCCGAACTATAAAATTGTCATATAAATACCTGAACTTTTCAAAACTCCCATATAAATACCCAGATTTTTAAATTTTTTCCAAATCAAACAAACGCAACTGCTGACTCGGCAAAAAACTGCTGACTCAACAAAAAAAACTGCTGACTCATCATTTAAAAATATTATTAAATGTTCAAATATTCATCTACATATATTTAAATTAATATATACATATATATATATATTAAAAATAAAATTATTTATAATTAATAAATTTAAATATATGTAGATGAATATTTGGATATTTAATAATATTTTTAAATGATGAGTCAGCAGTTTTTTGCTGAGTCAACAGTTTTTTTTGTTGAGTCATCAGTTTTTTGCTGAGCCAGCAGTTGCGTTTGTTTGATATGGAAAAAATTTAAAAGTTTGGGTATTTATGTGGGAATTTTGAAAAGTTAAGGTATTTATATGACAATTTTATAGTTTGGGTATTTGTTTGGGATTTTTGTAAAAGTTCGGGTATTTTTATGCGATTACCCCAATGAATAAAGTAAAGTAAATAAATAAATAAAATATATAAAAATAAACTATAAAATAAATAAATAAATATATATATATATATAGAGATAGATAGATAGATAGATCTATATGGAACATGATACGTGTATCCTATTTATTTAATTAAAAAATTATTTTTTATAAATTTTATAAAATTTCAAATAAAATTGATAATTATCACCCAGTAAAATTAAGTTTATTCCCACAAAATTACACGTATGTTACCATTGTCCCGTTTATAAATTTTTTAAAAATTTGCTAGTATATATATATATATTCATACAAACACATATATATATATACATATATATGTGTATATATATATATATGTGTATATTTGTATGTATATATATTTATTATTTATTTATTTTATTAATTTGAATAATTAGAGTATAATTAGGATGAATTTGTTGTCATACATATTTTTCGTTACGGTTAGGTTGATAATTTTAAGTTCGTTTGTATTTAGAGATTTATTTACTAGATAGTATTTTATTGTTATAAATGATAAATATAATATTTATTATGATAATAAAATGTATGAGTTTAAATTACGACAATAGAAAACTATAGACTTTTTAGAATTTTTTCTTTTAAAAAATAAAATACATACACATATATAGCCTATAGGTATATATATATACATACAAAAATACTCCATCCGTTTCAAAATAATTGTTGTTTTAGGTTGTTTCACATTTTTTAATAAAAGAGATAAAAAGTCACATATACCCTTATTTAATAATAAAAACAATGTTATCATTAATAATTTATTAGAATTTGATAGGAATAAAATTGGAAACTATTGTAAAAAATGTTTTGAAAATGTAGAATGATAAATATTTTGAAAATAACCTAAAACTACAAATATTTTGAAACGAAGAGAGTATATGCAAACACATTACATATAAACAAACATACATATATATACACATATATGCCTACATATATATACATACGTATATACATAGATACATATATATATACATGCATGCGTATGTATACATATGCATAGATATATATACACATTGTGACACCCACAACTCAATTCTCGGTGATTGAATAACGCCACATGTAAAAATATAACATTTAGAATGAAAGTTCGGGATATTTAAAATTTTCTTCTTTACATATGCAATAGAAATATGTCACACTTTAATTTAAACATATAAGTGTAAAATATCCATAGGAGAAATATTATACTATCATTATATAACAAAAGTAATCTTGTACAACATTTTCAAAACTCCCTTTTAAGATATCATAACATCTACCTATCTTACAAAAGTGTATTATTCAAAACATCAGTTCTTACAATAGATATATCCAAAACCTTCGTGTACATATGTGCTTTAGGTACTCTATATGTTACTTTACGATATGAATACCGAGATATTTTTGTATTGACCGATTCATAATTTTGGTTAAATGAATGAATGTTTCTTTTCTTTATTCGTTTTGCATATTTGATGAATAAGAAATCCATGGTTCGTTATGAACGATTCTAAATTCCCTAATCGTGTATTATTGTGAAAATGATAATATAATAAAACTAGCATGAGGTGTGTTGGATGGTAACACGGATGGTCACAGATCATAGTCATGGGTACTGATTTAGAATGAAGTATTGGATGATCCACATGAGATTGTCACATGGACATGAGGCATGACTTGAATCTCATGTGATAGGTTCATGATTAGATCCTTTGACCTGATATGTCTACGGTATCCGACATGAGGAGTGTCGTACTTTGATTGCGTCAAACGTCTTGCGTAACAGAAAGATTATAACGACGTCTCTTGGGTACGACATGAATCATGTTTCGGATAGTAGATAGTCAATACGGAATTCGTACCTCTCGTCCTGAGAGAAATATCATTTGGACCCCTCGAATGAGTTGAGACTGAGATGGCGCAACCAGATGAAGAGTCATCTGATGTTTCAGTTAACTCAACGAACGAGAAAAGCAGTCGAATCTGATAATATGGCTGATTCCATGTCTTATGTTCGACATATGATGTCGCGTTACAAAGGGATCATTGTATGGACTATTACCGGCTTTCGTTGGATCATGAGACTAACTCTATTCGAATTAGGTAGTCATAGTGTCTTCTAGAGACCGCCTATAACTTGTATCACCAGAATGGAGATTCCATGTTTTACTGCTATTTCGGATGAGCCTACATGATCACACACATAGGGACATACATATGTGTAGGGTATCGGAAAGAAAAAATCATATTTAACCTGACAAACGATTGTCAGAACGAAATCAAAAGGTCGAGAAATTAGTTATGGCAAAATGGAATCGGTCAGTTCCATATGGAACAGGACAGGTTCCACTTTGTCCAATTTCGACCCAAAAATCAGTTTTGGGCCAGAATGGAATTGGCCGGTTCGGACTAGTCCCGTATGGAATTGGCCCGGTTTCACTTTCGGCAGATTTCTTTTTCCCACTCAAATTAGGGTTTTTAAGGAACCAAATAAATAGGACACGCCCCCTAGGGTTTTGGTACGTCTCCTCAGACTTTTAGAGCAAATCTAAGAGTCTCAAAATCCGCTTTTGATTCCTTGAAACCCTGCGCATTATAGAGATCGAGATTTCTAGTCCTAGCAGACGAGTTCTAACCGTTGGAATCCTTTCTGATGTGTGGATACGTGTAGAGGGCTTTGTATACTTCCTGTCTTCTTGTGGTCGACGATTCAGCTTTGAGAATAGGCACCAGATCGTTTGAGGTTAATATTTCTTCTATAGATCTACAATCATACATGTTCGGTTTTAGAGTTTTGTTTAGAAAAATTTTTGTTTTTTGCCTTCCGCTGCATGAACCCTAGAACCAGATCTCTAGGATTATGAATTGCTAGCGAGATCCCAGG